AAAACGAAGACATACAGAGTTTGAAACAGTGGCACTTACTGAAGAGTGTAGTGCCAGAGTTCAAAGTAAACGTCATCCTAAGTTGAAGGATCCTGGGAGTTTCACAATTCCTTTGTCTCTTGGAAAACAAGAAGTTGGTAGAGCCTTGTGTGATTTAGGGGCCAGTATAAATTTGATGACATCCTCTTTGTTCAAGCAACTCAGATTGGGGGCGCTTAGACCTACAACAATCACTTTACAACTAGCAGATAGGTCACTAGTCATGCTCGAAGGAATTATTGAGGATGTGTTAGTTCGAGTGGGAAAGTTTATTCTTCCTACTAATTTTATTGTTCTTAATTACGAGGCAGATGAGGAAGTGCCCATTATTTTGGGGGGAGCATTCTTAGCTACTGGTGGAACAATTATTGATGTGAGAGCAGGGAAGTAAGAAATGAGAGTTGACGATGAAGAGGTCACTTTTAATGTGTACAAGGCACTTAAGCTTCCTAAACATTATGAAGACTTGTGCATGATTACAGTGGTAGAATCGAAGAGGATAAAGCAGAGTCCTTATGTGAATTATAGTGATCCAGATGGGACAACTGAGTTAAAGGAGGTGGTATTTCCAACTGACCGTGTTAAGATGATTGAGAAAAGAACCAGAGATGAAAGAGGAGACCTTCCGAGAACGTGCAAAAAGGCTAGACTTCATAGGAGAAAGAAGAAGAGAAAGCGCCCAGCCTGAGCAGAATAGCAGAGTCGTGCCACGACTATAAATAAGGCGCTTGTTGGGAGGCAACCCAACCTATATATCTTTTATCTATTGATTAATTTTTTTAGTGTCAAGTTTTGTGTTGCTTTTATTTTGCAGAGTAGGGGAAGTCTGAGTACCCAAAGTTGAAGTTGAGGAGCATGTTTGATCTTAAGTGTGGGGTCGTCCCGGCCCTTAATATTGAGGATCATGTCTGAGCTAGGTCTGAGAGGGTCTCAGGGAGTATTTTTCACCCTTGTTTTAATATTTCTCTATGATCATGCATCGAGGGCTATGCATAGTTCAAGTGTGGGATAGGAGGAATACCACATGCTGTAGTTGTATATCTTGTATTAACTTGTTTTGTTTTGTTTCTTTCCGTAGTTCTAGTGTTGTCAATCTAGTTTAGTATTAGTTGCTTTAAATGAAAAAGAAAAAAAAATTATTTGAAAAAGATCGGATTTTTCCCGAAGATGGATCTTTTGGACAATTTTCTTGAGGGATAAAAGTTCGATTTAAAAACACCCAAGAGATTTTTGTTTTTTTATGTGTCGTTTTATTTTTTTAGAATAGCTAGGTAGTATTCCTTGATTTTTCTTTGGGCACCGGTTCTTTTCCAAGGATGTAGCTAGAACCGGGCACTTTAATTTCTTTTTAGGAGCAGTTTAGGAAGAAACTGAGTCATTCTGAGATACTCATTGACATGGTTGATGCTGGCACATTAGGCTATGACATACATTCTGTTTTCCCGTGTATTTGGTTTGACTTGTGAAGCCTAAGTAAAGTAAATAGCCTATTTTGTGACGTCGTTTCTCAGTTGTTTGACTTGTATACCACATAGTGCAATGTTGCTTAAATTTCTCATTTAATTGTACTTCCTTGACTTGAGAGTTGAACAAAACCATCTTGATTGAGTCATGTGCAACATGTGTGTGAGGATTTGTGATTTTCTTTGCTATCCTGTGTAGTCTAGAACTTGCCCCGTGTGTTAATTGAAGCGAAATTATAAGTTGTGATATATCTAAGAGATGACGTAGGCATTTTCTTGCTTGATCATAGATGTGCTTGTCACATAAAAATAAAATTTTCCGTTGCTAGCCCCTTTGAGCCTATAGACCTTTCTTTTGTCACCCACATACAAGCCATACCCCTATTTTGTTCTTAATTTGATATTGATTGAACCTTTACCTCCTAAGGAACTTAGTCGCTAAAAGAAGTAAGGTGATATATTGGGGAGTAGTTTTCGAGTGGAAACATGGAAGGGCTCGTTAGTGCACTAAAGTTGAAATCAAAAGTCACTAGCCGATGAACTTTAATGTATGAAGTGTGTGAAGAAAAAAAAAGAGACAAGGGAAAAGAAAAATTTGCAAGAAAAGAAAAAACAAATATGATAGTTCAAATAATGTAGAAAAATACACACCTCCAATTCTTATTGATTTGTGCTAGTGACAAAATAGAGAAGTGCTTAAGTGAAAAGTGGGCTATGTTGTATATGGCAAGTGATTTGGTTGAGAAAAATATGTGATTGAAGTGTAAATGTAGTGTATTAAAGTGCTTAGGAGGGTGAGTCACTATTTCTAAATATATTCTACCCGTCCCTTAGCCTACAATACAACCTAAAAGTCCTAATTGATCCTAGATTTGGCTAGCTTAAATTAGTGGAGATATACATTACGGGCAAGCTTATGGAATGACCACGGGATGCATATGAATTCTTTGTAAGAGTGACCGAATTTTGTTCAATTGTGTGATGTCCTTAAATTATGTTCAAAAGCATATTTGAATGTGTGGACCAATTTATATTCACTCTCGGTTTGTTGGTGAGGGCACATGATCTCATGAATGATTGGTAATGTTGTAAACTTTCTTGTTGGGTAAGTGCATAAATTGAGGGTGCTTAGTGGTTGCAAGTCGGCTTGTGAGGTTGGGTGGTGACAATTAGGTTATTGGAAATTATTGAATTGAAATATTATACTTGGGCTTGCTCAAACGGGAAGAATGTGAATTTTTGTGTGTTCATGCTTGTGTGCCGGTATTAATCATAGTCAAGGTATAGTGTGTGGTTAAAAGTTAAAGTGCTCCTCTATAATTGATACTTGTACGTAGTTGGGGGAGGGGGGTATTAGATAGTCCCATTGCTCGAGGACGAGCAACGTTTAAGTGTGGGGTGTTGATGATAGGCTATAGTTACATATTTTGGTCGATTATTACACTCTAATTTACTATACTTTATTTGGGTTTGCGCTTTAATCGCTAATGTTTTGCACTAACGATGTGTTTTATGCCTTGTAGGAGTGATTCCGAGCTATATAGATGTTATGGAATGAATTGAAATGATTTTGAGCTTTGAAGTCTGAGTAAAAGCCCAAGGAATTAAGTCGGGATCGTGTCAGGGGTCAACTTTGATAGTTAAGAATAAACGAAGACTCGAGAGGGCATATTGCGTACTGTCTAGTAAAATACACATAACCTTTTTCTCAGAACTTCATTTTGGCTCCACAATATATTGTTGGAAACCTAACTCAAAGGGCTACAACTTTCATGTTTTAAAGTTTTCCAAATTCTAAACGGAACAGGGCAAAACGCGCGAGATTTGAGCCAACACGAACGAAACCGGGAAAAAGGGCCAGTTGGGCGCCACAGGCAGTGCCTGGCGCCACCTATGGTGCCAAAAATAGTATGCACAAATAATGGGGCGCCGTGGAGGGCGCCTGGCGCTGGGCTGGGCGCTGGTGACGTGAAATGTGTCCTATTTTGCTCGGGACAAGTTTATTTCGGCCCTAGACCTACCCAACTGATATAGAAGCAAGACTAAACCTATTTTTGAGGGAGGGGACACACCTTGGAGAAAAAATACACGCAAGAAACATTGAGGAGCAAGAACATCTCAGAATTCTTCATCTTTTTCTAGTATTTCCAATTGATTCAACACTTATGCAATTGTTTGATTAAATAATGAGTGGCTAAACACCCATTGTTCTGGGGTTGTGATTTAGCCATGAATATTGTTGTTTAACGTTGACTTGACCTTGATTATAATTCACCAATATATGGTTGTTTCTTCAATTCTGTGTTTAATTGCTTAATTGTCTGGCCAGCAGTTAGGTTCTATTTACTATCTATGTTATGCTTGGGAAAGCTGTGTTTAGATTAGAGAAGAATTGAAGAGAGCATGACTTAACCCTTAGGGGGAGCGGATTTGTGGTTAGGATAGGAATATACCTAGTCACCATGCTTAATTAAATATCGTGATCTTAATGTGTTCTTAATAGATTTATTTCATAGGAATATAGGCGTTAATCTATTGAGAATAGGTGAGTAGTACTTCGGGAGAAGGCTATGAGAGCACTTATCGATTAATTAGCAACCATGTGTGAATTATATGAAAGGGAGAGTTAATTAGAACACAATTCGATTGGTGAATCGATCACAACCCTGGAATACTTGTCTCTACTGAATACACAACAATCAACTTGTTACTTGATAACTTAGTTATTATTTAGAATTGTAGTATAATATAATCATATTATTGGACTTTGATTTTAGCTGGATTGAATAACAATTTTAGTGATTCAGTGAGTAGTTTACACAAGTCTCTGTGGGTTCGACACTCTACTTATCATTATATTACTTGTTGATCACGTATACTTGCGTGTGCATTTGGGAGCAACAATATGCTTAGCTCTTCATCTATTTCTTCAATTTTTTTATCTAGCATGAGTAGCTAAACCCATTAGCTAGGGTTGGCTCAACCCTAGTGTGGGTAATTGATGGGTGTTGCCATCTAATGTTAGATTGACTATGGGTGTTTGCTATTTGAGTTGATTTTTTGTTTTAATCTAGGATTGGTGGTTGCAAATACTGATTTAAGCTTTGTGGGTTTAACTCTTCTTAAAAAGAGAGTCTATAACCCTAAAATTGACCCAACAAGGAATTGGGATGGACTCACGAGAAATGATAGTCCCAATTAACGTGTTAAACCTCGAGAGAGTAATTGCCCTACTTGAACCCTAGTTGCTTTGTCTAATTTGACCACCCATTTGGTCTCTCGAGAGTCAATTAGGCAAAGTCACTTTCTCTACCGAGAGGTGTGAGAGTGGGTAAAATTGTGCAATGGTTATAGCATAAGCCCCAATTATGTCAATCGAACCTTAGTAACATCTACCCGTCAATTAGCCACCTAGGTAGTGTCACGACCCTAGTGCCCTTCTTCCCATTAGATACAATTTAGCAATATTCTCGTAGCATAATTTAGTGTTAATCAGTAGTTTTACAAAAACAATTATAATTTGAAAACCCAAAAATGTTTGAAGTGACATTAGAAGTACAAACACATCTCTAGGATAGAC